CCCGTCATCCAGTGGCCCACAATCAGGCATTTTCTCCAAAGTAAAAATTAGACTGTTTCTGCTCTAAAAATTGAGTAAATGGTCTACGGTTTGTTTTGGTTTTAATAATTACTATGTACATATATAATTTAAAAGTAAAGCAACAGAAAACATCGTTTAGATTTGGTTTTGACGAATTCAGTCCCAAGGCTAGTAAGAGATTCTTCCACAGCTGTAGCCCCAATACTTGTTTTTTCTCTGTGACTCTTGAGCTCAAAATTCAGGGCCCTGAACTTGCCTTTTTTTACTTCAAATCTCCAATAAGGTCAACAGTTGCCAGCCTAATCCACAATCCATGTACTCTGTATTTTCATTCTGCAACAGTTAAAAAAACTTATAAAGACTTGTCTTTCATAGACACTTGTTCAGTATAGAGAAAGGGGGGATTTAAATTATAGGGAACAAAAAAGTAGTCCTTAAAAATGACTTTTCTGCAGCAATAATTGTACAGTGGGCAGTGCTAAATTGATTATAGAATCTAGTCTCCCTTCTGCCATAGTAATAGAGTTGCAGCTGAAGACAGAGCTGCTCAGAGCAGCTAGAAATTATATTTCCCAGCTTTCCTTGCAACTACATTCCCCAAGTGGAAGTAACTTGTCACCTTCAGGCCTGGGCTTTAAGTTACTGAATGAACATTTGGATTCCCCTGCTAGAATTTGTGGTTGATGGTTGAATTTTTTTCTCCTGGTCTTGTTTTATATTTTATAGAATGCTCTTATATTTTCTGGAACAAAGATGGAAACCATCACTGGCTTTCAGTGATAATGTAGCGTTTTCTCCAATATAACTTAACCATCTTTTGACCATTTCAGTAGGAAAGTACAGGAGAGAAACATTGAAAAGAATGTACTCAAATCAATATATTTTAACTTCAGGTTTCAGGAATGTATTTAAATTATCAAACGGAGATATGACCCATAAAAATTGAAAATATGCCGTGTTCAGTTATAAGTTATTTATGTTTATATATCACATTATTTATTAAATTAGTTTAAAATTAAGTTTTGAAAAATACAGTGTTGTATATGGGAAATATATACATTTATATATACATATGCACTATGAGATATATATATATGTGTCTGTACATATATATATGTGTGTGTGTGCATATAACCTGAAGGGAAGAACATAAAATTCATTTTACATAAAGAGCAATTTTAGGTCATTTTTATTTTCTTTTGTATGCTTTTCTATATTTTGCAAGCTGATTTCAATTAATTGGTATTTATGTGAATTGAAAAAAAAGTGATTTAAACTGTATTAGCCTGTTTGGGATAATTAAGAAAAAATGTTATGACGTATCAATATCTGTAGATTTGCTTCTCAGAGAATCTAGCTTTAGCGAAGGATACAGTGAAAAACAGTTTAAATTAAGCTATTTAGCTCAGAGCAACAGATTGATTAACCTGTATTTGAAAATTAAAACTCTTCTTAACTTAAGGTATTTTCATGAGTAATACAAAAACAAATTTAAAAACTCAGAGGAGTGAAAAAAGATATTTTGCAAAGCCACAGTTAAAATACTGTCAATGTTATTGGACTTAAAGTCATAAATTACTAGCATTATTTGAATTACACCTTGATTTTATTTGTTCACTAATCTCCAGACTCTTACAAACAGACACTATTAATTTGCTTTTCTTCTTACACAAGTCATATTTGGGAAATGAAGTCTTGTCTCTTTGAGGCAAACTTAACCAACCATGCGAAGTCAGTAAACCCTGAAGAGCAAATTACAATGAACAGTGTGTTAATGGGGAGTGATGATTGAGTCACACACTTTGCCCTGTGCGAGAAGTCAATTAAAACATCTAAATATAGCAGCCGGAATATAAAAGCCAGATGCAAGTAGCCCATGCAATGAAGGACACATAGCTGAAAAAAAGATGAAAATGTTTAGGAAGTAAACAGGAAGCACCTTTGAAAAGATATTTTGTTCAACCAATATTTTTTGGGAAGGGGGGGGCCACTTTTTTTTTCATTCACACTTTCTATCTACTTTGATAATTTGTTTCTATATTTTGTTTCTATATTTGTTTCTATAACTAATTTGTTTCTATAACAATTCCAGGTGATAAAATGTAGGTTTTTCTACACTTGGGAAGGATAGGAATGTCTTCCTTCATGCTAAATGTCCCGGCTCTTCTTTAAACCTTCACTGCCTCCATTCTAGCCCAGATGTCCCTGATGCCCACACATAACCTCACTTCTCTAAACTGCCCTGTCCTGGATCCACATATAAAGACTGAAATATTAGTAACTACTCTTCTCACTTGATTTGGTCTGGAAACCATCTTATTCATAATTGCCTTTCTTTGATACTTGACTACTAGTCCATGCATGGTACATGATAGGGATTTGATGAGAGTGTTACCTGTCTCCCTCCTCATACATTCTTCCATAAATGGCTGGTAAGCTTAGTTAGCCATGCTGAACAGGTTCATAAGAGACAGATAAAGATGGATAAAAGGCAGTAGAGACATGAGACCTCACTGCGTGTCTATCTTGTTACCATAGGTTCTATTTGTCGCCTAAGCTCATGGATCTGTTCTCAACACATGCATGAATTACCAAGAGCCCATGCTTGATATGTGTTTACTTAAGGTCTTTTTAGTTTTCATCTAGTGCTTTTGCTCATTGTTTCTAGATTTTTGACCCTGACCTTACATGTCAACTCTGGATACATAGCTCAGGCCTTCATTGAATTAACTCATGCAGGAGAGATTTTTGCTTTTCATTCCAAACCCCAAGCACACTCTTTTTCTCTTGTTCTAAATGACTGGATCCATGAAATCACAGTTGCAAATAAAAGATGTTCCTACTATCTTTGATCAGCTAGCCCAGTCTGCTTAGGCTCCCTGCCATGAAAGAGAATAGGATGCTCTCCTAATTTCAGTTTCTCCTTCCTTATTAATGAAATGGGCATCATTCAATATCAGAAAAAAAAAAAACGATGGTTGCTTAGAAATCCTCACACAGAATTCCATACAATTCCCTGGTGTGAATCCCCTCTTGAATACAGGTTGTAGTCCAGAACATACCTAACTGGGATATCACACATGGCCTTATTTAGTCATTTCCCCCATTTCTATTTCATGATACCTGACTGTAAATACTGATCCATTCTCACCTAGGCTGTCATCCATGCTTTGAAAATTACTTTAAAGATAATTTTATGTGATTTTTGTGCCTTAAATACTTCTACCCAGCAGTTGTAGTAACTCAAATTTCAAGATTTTAACTCTTCTAAGATTCACAGAATAATGAGATCTTTGTCTTCATATATTCCTGAAACCCATCCTTCTTTGATATTCCATACCATCTCCCTTTTCAAGTACTCTGTATATGAGACAAGCTCTTTATTACTTTGAGCCAAATCAGCTTCACTTTCACCTAAATATGAGGTAGAAAGCTCAGTGTTTAGAGTTGGAGAGGACATATGATGGTTTTAAAGCATGTGTGAACTACGCTCTCATCCCTTGGACCTGGATGGGCTATTTGACAGCTTTAAATGATAGATTGTGCAGAAGTGTCACTCTGATTTCCAAGGCTGATTAGAAAAGGCCAGGAAGTTTCCCCAAGTATTCACTCATGGAGCCCAGAGCTGTCATGTTGGAAGTGTGGCCACTGTGCTGGGGAGGCTACATACAGCTGCCATCAAGACAGTACAGCTGAGTCTGCATTTTTGGCATCTCAGCCCAAGTGCCAGACCTATTAGCAAATAAATTTTCTTGGAAGGGGCTCTGTTGGCCCCCTGGTGTTATGTCAGGCAAGCATTCGAGGCACCTTGAGCTATTTAGTCATCTGTTATGGACTGAATGTTTGTGTCCCCACAAAATGTGTATGTTGAAATCTAATGCCCGGTGTGGTGGTAGGTGGAACTGGGGAATCTTTGGGAGGTTAATAAGTCATAGGGTGAAACCCTCACAAATGAGACTGGTGAGCCCTTATAAGAAGAGGCCAGAGAGCTAGTCCTGCTTTCCACAGAGTGAAGCTACAACGAGACATCAGCCATCCACCACCTAAAAGAGGGCTCTCCCCAGAACATGACCCTGCTGGCACCCTGATGTCTGCCTTCCAGCCTCCAGAACTGTGAGAAATAAATCTCTGTTGTTGAGAAGCCACCCAGTTTATGGCTTTTTTTTCCTGTTGAACCTGAAGTAAGACACTATCTCAGCTAACATTATGGAGAAGAGAAGAGCCATTCCTATTGTGCTTTCTCCAAATCCCGACCCACAGAATCAAGGAGCATAATAAAATGTTTGTTGCCTTAGACAGCTAAGCTTTGGGGTGGCTTGTTGTGCTGTAATTGAAAACTGGAACAGAAGAGTAGAGCATATCTTGTTCCTCCATCTCATTTTACAGAAGATAAAATTAATGTTTGTCTTAAGCTTCCACAATTCTTTGACTTAAAAGATTTCATTACCAAACCAACCAGTCTTTGTGCTAATTCTTCCTTTTCCTGTGCATGAATGCTCTGATGTGTGACAAGTACAATGATGGTCAGTCATCTTCTTTGCTTTCCACCATGAATGATGCAGATTAGTACTGAATTTCCTTTCTAGGCAGCAATACTATTGTTCAATCAGCTGATCTAAAAACCCCAAGGCCTCTTATAACACCTGGCAACTTCCACTTTTTATCCTAATAAATGTCTTATTATTTCTAAATCACTATTTCAGCCTGTTGAAATTTTTTTCTGAATTTTCATCTTTTAGGAAATAGATTCAACAATCTACAAACTAACTGTTACCTTGACATTTAAAAATAATAAATGTCCATGTCTTCATTTTAGTGGCTCTCTGCTGTTTACAGTTAGTCATGAATTTTCCATCTTATTTATATAAGGAAAAAAATCTTTGAAGGCAAGCATATGCAGCAAATTGAACCAGCATGTAAGCACATAATTGGAAATCTATAGCAGAAAGTTCCTCTTACATTATTTCATTTCTTCCTAGCACTAACATGATGAGGAAGATATCATTAAAGAAGAAACTGAAGCGTGGAGCTAAAGTAAATACAACAAGGTGGGATTTAAGCAAAAGGCCTGCCTTCCTGTCTCCTGTGCACCACAGCCCCAGAGTAGGACACTCAGAAGGGAGCAGTGATGACCGTGTCCAACACCTGTGTCCCTAAGTCAAGACCCACCCAAGGTAACTGACCAGAGTTTGGCTGTGCATTTTTTCTGGGAAACTGCTAAGAAGGTTGGGAACAAAAGTTATTTTCAGTCATGGCAACAAAGCTAAACACATTTTATATAAATAACTCAGAAGAACTTGTTCCAGGAAAATATAGTGGGCAAGGAAAATAACTCACACTAAAAGAGTGACGTACTACTTAGTTAATTATGAAAGAATGACTTTGAAGAGAGGTTAAGGATAACAAGTTAATGCAAAAACAATTTACATTGAGTTGGTGATATGCGGTTGTGTGTGGTGAGGCAGAAATGTTACTCAGGCCATGAATGTAAGCATAGTTCTGGAAATAAGACATAAAGCCACCAAGTGATAAAAGTCATTATCTCTGTTCTCTCAACTGGCTTCTTCCTTTGCATCTTGACGCTGATTAATTGCATCCCTCCCTCACAGAGTTACCTGGAAAGAGACACAGGCATAAACCTCAATTTCTCCCTTTCCACTCTTTACTTCTTTAACTAGATAGAAGGCATTTTGATTCTGCTGACTGAAATATTCAAATATATATTGCCTTCTTTCCAGCCTCACTACCACCGCCTTAAATCAGGCCAGCTTTCTCTCTCCACTCCTCAATAATAGTAATCCCAAATGTTCTTCTCGTCTCTCCACTTCAGTCCAGGTGCCAAGCTGCCACGGTAATTTTCTGAAACAAACATCCACTCAGTCATTCTAATACTGATTCTAATTACTGATTCTAATACTTCACAGTGTGGCACACACCATGCCACACACTAGTATAAAAGTGAACAAGACCCATTTCCCACCCTCAAAAAGCTAACAGTCTAGTGGCTGTTCAGAAGAGTGTATTACTGCAACATGAAAGTTAATAATGTCGAGAAAGGTATGATGACATGGAAACACATCGAAATGAAATGAAATCTACTTTTGGGATAGTTACTCCCTGTTGAAATGATAAATGTTGCTCTAACACTAACTTTAACCTTAAGATACAGTCCAGATTACTTAATAGTATTTGCATTTATTTTCATAGATAAATTGTAATCCATCAAACCTGTATTTGAGATCTAGTTCTAGTCAATAAAACACAGTGCTGGTTTTTTTGGGATATTCTTTCACCAGCAATGATTTAAATTAAAGATGTCAGTTCAACTAAAAGCAGCATCCAGCTATTTCACTTAATTTTTAAACTTCTCAATTTTGATTGTTAGAGGTGAAGTCTTAGTCTCACAGTTTTGGAAAGCGAAAGCCTGAAGTTTGCACACTACTTGCTCATTCTCCCCAAGTGAATGATCTGAAGGTGGTTCAGTTATTGTACATGACATTCATAGACAAGACCTTTAACGTCCCCAAGACAAGGAATTGCCTCTATTTTTAAACATTCTATAACATTCCTTTTCATTCTAAATTTTCCTTTAGGTCTCTTTTAATTCATTTCCACTTTGGGGTTGTTTTTCTGCTCCTTTTGACAATTTTGTTATAAAATAAATCTCTTCTCTGGTTAAAAAAAACTTTAAAAGTTAAAAAAACATCATATAAGAGAAGAGGCCTTAGGAAGAAAGATTGTTTCTAGCCCATCTCCAGCTCAGCTAAAGCTCACAGCAGTACAAAAAAGATACAGACTGTGGAGCCAGGCATGCTTCCTGCCTCTGTTTGCTGGTCTTGCCCCCCACATGCTCTCTCCTTGTTCTAAGCTATTGTTTCCTCATCTGAAAAATGGGAATAATAGTGCAGCCTGGCCCTGACAGTCTTGGGGCTTTCTTGAAATTTAACATTCTGTTAGACTCCTAGGGCATATACATACCAATATAAAATGGCATAGACATAAAGGAAAATATGTAAATACTACCTTATCTTATGTTTTCATACGTAAGTAACTAATGTCCTACTAGATTTTTTCAAAGCCATTTTCAAAGAGAAATGATGTTCCTGTTTTATTTCCCTCAATTTCGGTTTGTTAACCACTTGAGAGTGGCTCACAGGAGCAGGAGAGGAGAGCAGTGATTTGGGGTGAGATGTTAATGCTCAATCAGCAACAGAAGACCTCAGTATATCCTGGATATTGACTGCAAAGCACTATTGAATCAGAAAAGTGTCATAGTAAAATTAAGTGTTTTTGTAACTTAGGGAGATTTCCTGCAGATGATTATATCTTCTAGTTGTGGATTAGGTAATAAGGCACTGAATTTCTAGCTCATATAATAGTTGAAAAAATTGAAGACACTTATATGTCAACTACCTACCATAGTATCTTGACCAAGATGAACACTCAATAAAGGTTTGTTTTCCCTGCTTTGTTGGCCAGAAAACTGGTATTTGTCTTTTTATCAACAACTTGGTCTCAGGCCAATATAGAGTGTTTCAGACACCATTAAAATCTTCTTGTAATTCAAGGATAGATTCACATGTAATTGGCCCACAACTCACTTCAGGTTTATAAAAACTACCTTGCTCAAATCTCCCTCAGTTTTTTTCCTTTTTGTTTTTTTGTTTTTGTGTGTGATGATTTTGCTTCAGGCTGGCCCAGGGCTTACATATATCATAGATTTAATTTCCACATGGGCGTTACATACATAGCTTCAGCATTTTGCTAAAAGAGCTGTTGAACCACAAACAGCCGGATGCAGTGTTCTGAGCATTCCGTTAAGAGGATTGTACAGATAGTATAGATCTGGTTAATGTAATAGGTCCACAGATATTCACTGGAACAAATACAGGAATAAATAAATAATAGATACTAAAATAATCATATGTTTAAATAAATGGAAGTACTGAAAAGTGGCTAACATTGTATGTTTGCCCATGGTGATGAACTTCTTCAGATTAAACCTTTAATAGGCTAATGAGGGTGAGACATGGAGGTGCGTAGCCCTCATGTTCGGTGTGCCCCAGGGCTGCTTCAGCTCCTCTGGCCCTGGGCCCCACGCCTGGGAGTACACAGGCAGCAGAATCTCCATAGGTCCTTCCCTGTGAGAGTCGCCAGACTTAACTCAGCCTTTTGTCCGTTCTTCCTCTAGTTTTTCTTCAGAATATACTTAAAACCCAGTCATTACACTGGAGAGTTATCTCACCATTGAGTTATTTCTGCTCTCTTGCTGTTTTATCAGTCCCTGACTGATGACTAGACATCATTAGCACCTTTTTCTCTGTTTGTTTTAATACCTTGCTCCCTCAAATCACATCTGTTCCTTTTGTCTCACCACTGCAGATTAGTATGGATTGAATCTGTATTTGTCATTCTTTCTCATATCTGGTCTTAGTGTCATTGCCTTGAATGATTTTTTGAAGATCAACCCTAGTAACTCTCAGTTTTTTCTCATCTCCAAGTGGGACATCCAAGTGTGGGGGATCCAAGTGGGCTGAGAAGCACCGCTGTACCATTTCTATAAATTTTGGACTATTCTCACTTCAAAATACTCTTATGAAAATAAGCCTAAATCAAAATGGTGAAGCAATCCAAAGATATTGGCAAATTGAGCATAAAGCAATCTAGCTGAGAAATTATATCCAATTATGCTTGCTTTAAATACAAATATGAATGCTCATTAGCTGGATATCTACTTGACAATTATGCACCATCATTGCAGGAAAATTTTAATTTCTTGTTACTAAAATCTGTGTATTTGCTTGTGTTTTTGTCCCTCAAATAATCTGTTAGTACTCAGAATTCAAGTATTCACTGATTGTCTACAGTATGCAAAGTGCTGTGCTTTGTACTGTACTTTGTAGCTAAAGGCCCAAAGGATAGGTTCTGTGGGTTTTATTTCTATTTTGTTTATTTGCTTATTAGATTGTTTTCCTCATTAACTATTTAAACAAAAGGACAGCAGTCTTAACTGTAGAGTTCACTGAAATATCTTCAGATCCTAGAACAGTGGCCTGAATGTAGATGTTCACAAAATGTTTGTTCCATCATATTTTATAGAGATGGAGTACTGAGTCCAGGGATGAGGGGATCACCAGGTCTAAATTAATCAAACTTAGACTGAAATTAATCAGAGCCCATCTCTGAAAACCTTCAAATGTGTTAGTGAAACGTCTAAAACCTCAGAAGATCTTAGGGCTTGGAAGGAAAGTTTTACCAGGTCTGCCTCCACACATCCCCAAGAATACTGTATTGAGGGCATCTTTCTGAGATTCAGGAGAGATACTAGGTTTCTGTGGATTCAGGATAGTAGGAAGTCATGAAAACTGAGCCTATTCTCATAGAGACCAGGTAGTAAACTAAGCTCCAGGTTAAAACTGCATGGTCTAAGGGAGAAGACACAAATGTTCCTACAGACTCACAAATAACATATGGCGATACCACCACCACCTTCTTGAGAGTAGGCCACATTTACTAACACACTCCCCAAGAACAGAGAACAGAAAGAGAAAAACAGTACTGTACTGAGGAGAAATCTGGAAACCATTACCTTGACCAAGTGCTCGCCTCTGATATCACCAGTGGTTAGTCATGTCGGTACCCCTGATACAATGCGGTGTGGAGAAGGCTGCCACTTCACATCTGCTGTATTCTTCCCAGAAGTTTGAAATCAGGCAAAAAAGCAGATAAACCCAAATTAAGGAACATTCTAAAAGTATTAAGCAGTACTCCTCAAAATTGTGAAGGTCATGAGAAACAAAGAAAGTCTGAGACATTGTCAGAATTTTTTATTTCATAACTATGGGTGACTAAAATATTTTCATTATTAAGTATTAAAAATATGCCAAATGGGAGTTTCAATGCATGGGTTATTTCTCAGATAGTCTGGTGGGGTAAAATTTAATAGTCTGATGGGGAAAAGATGGGTATAATATGGTCCCAGGGGCATATTTTCTTCTGAGAGGACCTTCGAGTTGGCAACTCTCAGAGACTGTTATATTTAATACAATTACATAGAATTGAAAGATAGCCACCTTCATTTCTGTTCCATCTTGATAAAAATCAATGAAGACTTTCTTAGGAAGATTACAGAGAATAAGAAACTTCTTATGAATATTACAGTGATCCCTCTCCA